CCATTTTTAGAGCACCACGAAGAAGAGCACAATAGGTCTTCCAGCGGAGAGCTATCTCACACACAGGTAATGAGAATCTAACTTTCCTTTTATCTATAGCACTACTCTATCTGTTCTCTTTGTTGTCTCCATGACTCACAATGTACTAAAGTAACCATTTGACAGCTATTAAACCTAAGTCTTTCAAAATCTAAGCACTTTCTATCTTATTTCTTTTCTGAGAGGAAAATTGTGGGGGTGTTATACACTCCGTACAACCTGTGTTATTTGTAACTAGGTGAGTTCTGTGATTACGTAAATGGGCGCTGCGCTCCGGAGCCGCAGATCTCTAGAGGCCAATTAGTGGATACATAACAATCCCTGCCGCGATTACCTAACCCTTGCAAATTACCTCATCGACAGGAGGTTTTTATTTAGAAGTGATTAGAAGTTCTGGTATCACTTCGTTATTTATAACATTTTTCAAACATAAGGAAATGTTTTACATTTTGATGCTTGTCTTTTCACAGACGATAGAGTGGACAGAGAGTGATTCGCCAACGCCATCGCCAAACTCTGTTCCGGAAAAAAGTTCTCCAAGAACCATCACTGACGATAATCCCTCATTTGAAGGTTTGTTTGCGAATATAGTAGTGCGCATCTTGCAATAGTTCCTTCACGTTTCCAGAAACGTCTGTAATTCAAGAGCTACCGGCAGCCGGGACAAAAACTAGCAAAACTGCTCATGTTTGTCCGCACTGCAATTTTACAACATTCATGTCTCAACATATGAAGAGCCATTTGGTGAGTGTTTACCAGATAATTTAGACTTCTTTGATCATCTTCGGTAGGAATGGGCTGGCATTATATCACTTTGTGCTATGCGGTCAACAACTATCCTCGGTTTGGGTCAATACACACACTTTTGACCGTGTCGCCATCCGAGCACACTGTTTGACTTTCCCCTTCCTCATTCTTCCTCTGCGCCTCCCACTCCTTCCTCAAGTGATCAAGTATGATTGCCTTGCAAAAGAGAGAGTTCTCGTTTCAGGATGCCCACGAACGCCACCAAGGACAAATGTACCAATGCGACATTTGTCAAATGCAATTCAGTCAGAAGGTGCCATCACAAACTAAAATTCGTGAACCCATGATGAAGCAAATGACAAACGACATTTAGGCCAATATGCACCGCCATCGGATGAGACATAGTGGTGTAAAGCCGTACGAGTGTCGGTACTGCAAAAAGCGGTTCTTTCGTAAGGATCAGGTACGTGTGTTGAGAAGAGGTGAAAGTGGCAGAGCGATTGAGTTTTCGCGCTTTTCGCTCCACGCACACGATTTACGCGCCTCGTTCATTTCTCT